AGACCCCTCTTAGGACTGATTCTGCAAGTTAAGAAACCTCCAAAGAGAGAAAATTAGACTTCACAAGCTTAGTGAAAAATAGTGAGAATGTTTTTGGAGCAGCCAAAACCCCTTTCTTTTTCCTTTTTAGTGTCCCTTACAAGGTCTTTGATTATTTGCTTGTATTCAGATATCTTGAAGGGGCTCTGGAACATACTCTCCCCCCGTTAATTAATGTGCATTTAGCGAACGTCTTTTAGTTTTTTATTTTTTATTTTTATCTAACGCCCATTAAACATCTCAGGAAGCTAATGTCTTTTAATGTTTCATTTAAAATACAGCAGAAATTAAAACTTGAAGAAAATCACCCCAAATTGTGTCATTTGACAGCTATCAAGTATGCTTGAATATATGGCGAGCTTTTCTTTGCCCTAAATGATCCCTCAGTAAAGAGGAAGTTGCCGTCATTTGAGCCCTCATGAAACCTCTGAGGGTTAGGGGTGCCTTCACAATTACTTTACTTTGAACAGCGGACTCCTAAGCTATTATCATCAATTAGTACTACTTTTTGGATGCCTATTGGGATTTCCTGACAGAAACGGTAGAAAAAGAGGCAGAGAAATTTAACATAGTTTGGTGTTGGATACCTTAAAATAAGTCTTTAAATGACCATTTAGTAAACAAATACCAAGCTTTGAGCAGAGGAATGGGACAATCTTTTTGTTGTATTTTGTTTTATTTTAACTAATTAATTATTTAATTTTTTTAAAGCTGAGATTTGGCTCTGTTGCCCAGATTAAAGGGCAGTGGTGTGATCATGGCTCACTGCGGTCTTAACCTCCTGGACATGAGCAATCCTCCCACCTCAGCTTCTTTTGTTTTATTAATAAAAGGACCCCTCTGGCTGCTGAGTTGAGAACAGGCTCTAGTGGGCAAAAGTAGAAGTAAGAATACCTGTCAGTAAGCCTGGTGCAAGATGCTGGCAGTGGTAGTGGATGTGTTGAGAAGTAGTCTGATTCTGACTATGTTTTGAAAGCAGAGGCAACAGAATTTTTTTTTTTTTTCGTTAGATTTGGATGTTGGATACGAGAAATTTGTTAAATCAAGCACACTTCACCCTCCTTTACTGAACAATTTGTCTTCTAAAATTTAGTTTAATAAAACAATTATGCGTGCAAAGATGTTTGTAAATATAAGAACATACCATAGTAATATATCAGTAATGAAGATTTAAAAACAAGCGAATAATAATAGAGAATTGGCCAGATAAATGTTGTTAAGTCATTTCAGTAGAGAATGAGGCAGCCATTAAAATGATGTACGTGTATGTTTTTGGGCAAGGAAATGCATTACAAATAAATTTTCAGTTTTAGTTTTTACATGTATTTTGCTGGGAATTTGAAGTTTCTTTTTTATTTTTCAAAATTCGTTTTGAATACTGGGGGTATTTTAATGGCAAGACATTAGGGGATATCAGAGACTCTTGGTTGCTGCTTTAGTCATGTAGACACCTTGCATGTTGACTTTTGATTGGTGAATATTTTGTGTCTCTGATCTTGTTTTCCTACAGTTGAATTGTTGGTAAGGATATATATATATATATATATATATATATATATATATATTTTTTTTTTTTTTTTTTTTTTTTTGAGACTTAGTCTTGCTCTGTCACCAGGCTGAAGATCAGTGTTGCAATCTTGGGTCGCTTCAACCTTTGCCTCCCGGGTTCGCGTGATTTTTCCGCCTCAGCTTCCTGAGTAGCTGGGACTGCGGGTGCGCGCCACCGCTCTCGGCTGATTTTTGTATTTTTAGCAGAGACGAGGTTTCACCGTGATGGTCAGGCTGGGATTGAACTCCATCACTTACTCTGACAATGCAGCTGGGCGTGTGTGTTCTTCCCCACTGCAAACTCAGTGAACTCCCTTCCACGCCAGTAGCAAAGCTGTCAGTCCTAACGGTTTGCCTTGCCCTGCTCTGCCTTGCAGAACCTCTCTACCTACTGAATGGGTAGATGGTGAGATGGGAGTAGCCTTACACAGACTTTCCTGGTTCTTACCCACTTTTTAGCAGTTTTTCAAGCATAAATGCTTCTCAGGTTGTTTTATTCTTCTGGTGGATTTCCAGAGCATTGAAAGGGTTGTTTTGCCCATTTCACCCAGCTTTATCATTGGTTTTTGGGAAGAGGAATTAACTACCTTCTCACTAGGCTGTAGCTGGAAGTCTTGCCTCTTGGAATGTATTTTTTAATGTAGTTAGTCATTTCCCCAGGTATATTTACTGTGTTCCTTAGGGTTCTCCAGAAAAACAAAACCGAAGCCCAGTTGTTAGGGTTTTACAGGAAAACAGAACCAGTAGTTACGGCAAGGCAAACCATTAGGACTGACCGCTTTGCTAGTGGATTGGAAGGGAACTCACCGAATTTAGAGTGGTGAATAACGCACAATGCCACACATGTATACGGGGAGGGGCCGGTGGTAGGGAGAGGAAGAGACTGATCTTAGGGAATTTGCTTATGCGATTGTGGGGCTGGCAAGTCTGAAATTCAAAGGGCAGTTGGGTAGAGATGAGTTGATGTTGCAGTCTTGTTCCAGGACCAAACTGAGGGTTGGGCTGCTATTTCTTGCGGCCTGGTAACGAGATACAGATGCACTGGGGAGGAAGAGAATTTTTATTTCTGTAACCGGTTACAGGGAGGCCTGGAATTATCGCCAGACCAACTTAAAATTACTGTTTTTCAGAGCTTATATACTTTCTAACCAATATGTCTATGTGTAAGTGTGCATTCATCTAAAGATGTAAGTGATTAACTTCTTTTAATCTGTAACTAAGATCTGGGTCCTGAAGACCTTCTCCTGGACTCTCAGTAAATTTACGTAATCTAAATAGGTCTAGGTGCTGGGGTGATTACCCTTATCTTATCACCTGCTAAATCACAGAGGTTTGGGGAGTTCCTTCAGATCTCCAGTAAACTTGTTTGTGGAGGCCTGGGGAGTTTCTTCAGACCCCTCATAAAACTTATTTAATCCTAAATGGGTCCTGTTAAGAATTCCTTCATTAGACGCGGTGGCTCAAGCCTGTAATCCCAGCACTTTGGGAGGCCGAGGCGGGTGGGTCACGAGGTCGAGAGATCGAGACCATCCTGGTCGACATGGTGAAACCCCGTCTCTACTAAAAATACAAAAAATTAGCTGGGCACGGTGGCGCGTGCCTGTAATCCCAGCTACTCAGGAGGCTGAGGCAGGAGAATTGCCTGAACCCAGAAGGCGGAGGTTGCAGTGAACCGAGATCACGCCATTGCACTCCAGCCTGGGTAACAAGAGCGAAACTCCGTCTCCAAAAAAAAAAAAAAATCCTTCATTATTTTGCCATGCTATAAGGTCCAGGAAAGGCCTCTGCAAAACTATTGGTGGGTTTTGTTACATTCCCCCCGTTGTATAAGGGCGATGGCGTTTTTTAGCCTTTAATATTTAACTTCACCACCCAGTCAGTACTGAAACAGTTGTTATGGAGGCCTGTGTTGGTGAGACCTAACCTGCCACAATCTTGACTCCAGATTCTGCTGGGTAGCCGGCTGGACACACGGGCAGGGCTTCTATGTTGTCCTTTCTCAGGAAACCTTAGTCTTTGCTCTTAAGGCCTTTACTTGTTAGATGAAGCCTTCCTGTGTTATGGAGGGTAATCCATTTAACTAAAAATCTGTTCATTAATATGTTAATCACATCTAAAAGATACCTTCATAGCCAAATATAAACCAGTGTTTGACCAAACAACTGGGCACCAAAGCCTGACCAAGCTGACACACAACATTAACTGTCACACTTGCCTTCTGAGGATTCAGGGTAAATTATTTTGGTATAGGTGTGGTCTGGTTGCTGTCTGTTTCCCACTGTATACCCTTCTCCTCGCTAAACTAGCACTCTAGCTGTTTCATACCCATGCTTCTCCTTTTGCACATCTGTGTCTTTGGTCATAGTGTACCTGCAGCTTAGAGTGCTTCCTGTGTCCAGATCTTACCTGTCCTTCTGAGGATTAGATCACAGATACTTACACAGTTTTCTTTGCAGCCTATACACCAGCTCTCCTAAACTACTTTCTGTTACCTAATCATGCTGTGTTCTGTCTTGCCATTTTGCTTTTGCACACAAGTTCCTTTGGTTTAGAATATCCCTTCCTCCCTCTCAGTTTCGTTTCTTTTTGGTCTCAGTATGTTGCCTGGGCTGTTGATGAACTCCTGAGCTCAAATGATGTTCTGATCTCATTTTCCCAAAAAGTGCTGCGATTACGGGGGCAAGCTGCTGCACCTGGTCTTCCCACCTACTTTCGTAAAGCATACAGCTTCCTCAGGTGGATTACATGCTCCTTTTCATGATGCTCCCATTGGCCCTTTGCATATTTCCACTGAGGCACTGATCACATTTTATTGTCATTGTTTACATATCTGTCTGTCAAAGTCTTTGTTTTTCAAGAGCAGAGGTCACTATACTGTTGTCCTTTTCAAAGTTTGTCCTCAGTTGAGCCTGAGTATCTGGTCTGTAGTACCTAAGTAGTGAGATAATAAACTGAATCTCTGTTAAAGATTTGGAAGTTGTTTTATATTTCTTCTGTAATTTCTCATTATGTTAGAATGTGGCGATAATGACTGCTTAGACATGAAGCAAATCTGAATTGCAGAGATCAGCCTTGGGTTGGACTTCAGATGTTCCTGGGCTTATTAAATATTTGCTTGACTCACTGATAGAAATAATTTTATTTATTTTTCCATCCTCTACCAGGTACATAGCTTCAGAATTACTGCTTTAGGAAAAGCTGTTTGTGATTATAAGCATTGATTTACTTGTGCTCAAATTTGTATATACTATAGGTACTGAGTAGAACAAATTTTACTGAAATTTGTTTTAAGAATATCAAATAATCTTAAGACCATTTCAGCTTTTTTCTAGCTAAAATGCAGTGGTGATAACTGGTGACTGGTTTGCAAGGAATCTTGATGTGATGACAAATAACCTTTTCCTTTTTACTAGATGTCGGTCATCTTTCTGAAGTAGACTCTCCATGGCCTGAACATTTTCCGAAAACAATTTTGAGGAAAATATCTGTTTAATAACAAGATAACCACATCAAGATGGTTGGAAAGCTGAAGCAGAACTTACTATTGGCATGTCTAGTGATTAGTTCTGTGACCGTGTTTTACTTGGGCCAGCATGCAATGGAATGCCATCACCGGATAGAGGAACGCAGCCAGCCAGTCAAATCAGAGAGCACAAGGGCCACTGTGAGAACTGGCCTGGACCTCAAAGCCAACAAAACCTTTGCCTATCACAAAGATATGCCTTTAATATTTATTGGAGGTGTGCCTCGGAGTGGAACCACACTCATGAGGGCCATGCTGGATGCGCATCCTGACATTCGCTGTGGAGAGGAAACCAGGGTCATTCCCCGAATCCTGGCCCTGAAGCAGATGTGGTCACGGTCAAGTAAAGAGAAGATCCGGCTGGATGAGGCTGGTGTTACTGATGAAGTGCTGGATTCTGCCATGCAAGCCTTCTTACTAGAAATCATCGTTAAGCATGGGGAGCCAGCCCCTTATTTATGTAATAAAGATCCTTTTGCCCTGAAATCCTTAACTTACCTTGCTAGGTTATTCCCCAATGCCAAATTTCTCCTGATGGTCCGAGATGGCCGGGCATCAGTACATTCGATGATTTCTCGAAAAGTTACCATAGCTGGATTTGACCTGAACAGCTACAGGGACTGCTTGACCAAGTGGAATCGTGCCATAGAGACCATGTATAACCAGTGTATGGAGGTTGGTTATAAAAAGTGCATGTTGGTTCACTACGAACAGCTTGTCTTACATCCTGAACGGTGGATGAGAACACTCTTAAAGTTCCTCCATATTCCCTGGAACCACTCAGTACTGCACCATGAAGAGATGATTGGGAAAGCTGGGGGAGTGTCTCTGTCAAAGTGAGTAGAAGATAACGTTTTTTTATTTTGACTCTGTACTTAGCTAATAATATATGCATATTTGTGTGTTTTATGTATCTGTGTGTATACGTACGTGTGAGTGTATATGGAAACTGAAAACCTTTTCTGGAGCAGATACAGCATCATTGATGAGGTTCCTTTTTTTTATTCTCTCCTAGTTTATTGTAGACTTTCAGGTATTTATACTTCATTTTTTCATGTATACATCATGGCCTTCTTTATTTGTTTGATGGATGCAAACCCAGCTTACAGGCGGTGAAAAGCCTTTAAGGCCTCCGACCCTAATGGTGACCGTTCAGTTTTAGTGCCTTCTGATTTCTAATTCTAGGTATTGTTGGTAATGACGTTAGTCGGCTTTTGTGTGGATTAAAGTTAAAGTTAGGAAGTGCACATGTCATGTCAATGAGCACATAGTGAATTATAAGCATTTTGAAATTTTTGGTGATAGAGAAGAATAAAGGCACTAACCTAATCTCTTCGTTTTATGGACAAGAAGACTGAGTCTGTAAGATTAAAACAATTTGCTCAGATTTAGATGGCAAGGCCAGAATTGGAATCCATGCCTTGGTCTCAATGAGGTCGTGCTTTTCTCCATGGCATTTTACTGCTTGTAGTGCTTCCTTTGTCATCTGATGGATATATGTTCTCTTATTTTTTACAAAGTGCTGGAGAATCTCCAGAATTTGGAAGCCTAATCCATAAAATAAGTTTCTTGGATTTAAAACTTCTCAAAGATGATTTTTAGCATTTTGCTTCTTTTCTCATGAGGTGAAAACTAGTATGCCCTCATTTGATCTGATAACCTGACTTGAGAACTTCTATACCTGGAATGAGGATATAAAAATGGAAACTACTGTTAAATTCAGGTACCATCTCTTCATGAAGAAAAGTTGGCTATAACTAAATTTTATTTTTGTCTTTTTCGTTTATTAATGTACAACCCCTGTAAAAAAGAAAAAGCAGTATAATTTCCTGTGTGTCCTTCTTACTTTCACCAAGGAATATCTCCTTAATTTTTTTTTCACTGTTTAGAACTTGTATAGTAAATATTGATTTCTCATGTAGATAATCTCAAAGGAACAGCTGCCTGCTTATACCTAGCTTTCAATTTTTGATTATAAGTTATGATGTACAATCACTATACTGGCTCTAGATTATTTTTATTGATTCAAAGAAAATTTTAGCTTTAGCTACTCTCGTTGCAGTTTATTATTTTTTCCAGATAATAGATTATAATTGATTTTTAATCACTTGTATTAGGTATTTCAGTCTTTGTGCTTATATGATGGCCTGACACTGATGCCAGCCACATCTGCTAATATAAAGGGAGCCTGTTAGACCACCAGGCTCTTCACTAGGGGTTAAAGAGATGTGCTTAAGTTAAATTTTGGTGCCAATCAGGACGAGAACATTTTGTGTATAAACTTGCTATGTTTAAAGTAAATATAAAGGCCAAGAAAATTTGTAGAAATTATGTTATGAATTAGTGAACTTTAGAAAGCAAAAAGACCTTACTTAGCATTTCAGTGTCTGGAATGAAGGCCCAGTAAGGCTCTATACTTTGTCAAAAATTAACATATCAGAACCATGAGTAGAATCTACTAATGCTTATTCCAAGATTTTTGCATTTGGGGTCTTTCTAGTTTGGAGCTATTACGGATAAAAGTTGCTAAGAACATTCTTGTACATTACTTTTGGTGCACATAGCATTTATTTCTTTTGGGTACATACCAGTGAGTAGAATTGCTGGATAAAGGGTGTATGTGTGTGTAACAGATACTTTCTAACAGTTTTTCAAAGTGTCTGTTTCGTGTATGACTGTACTGTAGATGAGTACGTTCTAATTGCCGCACATCTTTACCAACACTTGGTATTTTAGTCTTTTCTGGTAGGCTACAATTGCTTTCTAAAACTTAAAAGCAAAATAATATTTGAACCCTTTTTGACAGAAAATCTTACCCAGAATTTCAATATAAAACAATTAAGAGCTGTTTTGGTTCAGGTGAGTCTAAACTAGACCATATTTCCTTCGGCACAATCTTGGCTCAGTGAAACCTCTGCCTGCCGTGTTCAAGTGATTGTCCTGCCTCAGCCTTTTGAGTAGCTGGGATTACAGGTATGCACCACCATACCCAGCTAATTTTTTTTTTTTTTTGTATTTTTGGTAGAGTGCCAGGTTGGCCAGACTGGTCTTGAACTCCTGAGTTCAGCCTTGAAGGTTTGAAATACCACCAGATGGCGTAGAGATATCAGGAGCCCTTCACAGTTCTGCCTCTTATCTTACTAACTAGGAAAGGTAACCTTTGCTTTGCTTAGAGGTTTCTAGTTACTTACGGTCAGGGTGGCACCTCTTGCTTCCCTGTGCAGTTCCAGTTACAGAAAAGTCAGAGCTCCTGCTCAAGTATCTTGAAAAGAAAGTAGAAGTAAAGTTTGAGGCCATTTATGGTGCTTTCTTCTCATGGTTTGTGGAATTTTTTGTGGAATTTTAGTTGTCTCCATGAGGAAACTTTTGGGAAGTTATGAGAGAGTACAGAGTTACTTCTGTATTAAACTCATTATGATACCATGAAATTATCTGGAACAAATAAAAATCAAGTTTGCTAGGTCAAAAGAGCAAAGCGACCCTTAGACAGCAAGTGTAGGAATCACAACTACAATTCAGAGTTCTTATCTACACTCAGAGCAGAAAGAGAAGATAGCAACTCCTAAACACAAGTAAATTCGAAAGAAAAAGATAAGAGTAGTGTCAAGCACAAGAGAACAAATAAGAACAGGAAAACAGATACCCTACAGCTTCTAGTAAGTAAAGCAGACAAAAAAATCTCTAAATGAGATCTAAAGCAAAGAAAGACTAAATAAATGAGTGAAAATACTGCAAAAAGTTTTTTGGAAATAAAGTTTTTTTGAGGAAGTAGGAAGAATAATTCGTAATTTATTAAATTTATAACACTGTTTCTTTTTAATATCTAAAATGAAATTTACTTTTGTTAAAGAAAACATTATTCAATGCTACTAATTAAGGCACGAGGCAGTGTTTATTTAGCAGGAGATACAGGGACCACAACATGGGCAAGTGGGCATTTATAGCCAGGGAGCAGGGTGAGGGTCAGTGGCCAGAAATTCCTAAGAGGAAACATCAGGAGTCAGGGGCATTCTGCCTAAATCGACCTTGTAGGATTCTCGCTGAAGACAGGCCAGGGTGATCAGACATCACCTGGTGCGGGTGGAAGATGAGAAACCTGGTCAGATACTGAGAGTGATTAGGTATCAAGGGTGGGAGGTTCTTGCTGAACTGCCTTAGCAGGGTTCTTTGCTGAAAACTGGATTTTATAAAGAAGTACACAGATGGTCCTAGGAAAGGTTCAGGATCCTGACTGAAGTTTGGTCACACAAAGAATCTTTGTCAGCTTGGAAACTTAAAATTCTTATATCTTATGGGATTAACAGAAAGATAACTAACCACTTGAAATTCTTCTGAAATTTAAGGATAACAAGAATAAGCAAGTGAAGAGAATGAAAGACTGTATTCACAAAAATTATGAGCATTTTAGTAGCATGGAAAATTAACAGCAGGCAAATTAGGATTACCTGAGCTCTACTGGCTCAGTCTGAAATATCCCAGAAGAATTATATAAATATTACATGTGGTTTTTTTCTTCTTCATGAAGCTATCAGAGAACAAGACTGTTTATTTGTGAAAACTTCTCCTTTTTGAAGGCATTGTTTAAGGATGCTACTGGGGTATTGGGGTTGTGTCTTTTTTTTTTGAAACAGGGTCTTGCTCTGTCACCCAGGCTGGAGTATTGTGCCGAGATTATGGCTTACCACAGCCTTGAACTGTTGGACTCAAGCTGTCTTCCCACCTTAGCTTGCTGTTAGTAGCTGGAACTACAGGTGCATGCCACCATGCCTGGGTAACTTTTGTTTATTTTTTGTAGAGACAGGGTCTCACTGTGTTACCCAGGCTGGTCTCAAACTCCTGGTGCCAAGCAGTCTTCCTGCCTTGGCCTCCCAAAGTGCTGGGATTACCGCTGTGAGCTGCCACGCCCGTGCCATGTTGAAGAGGGAAGTAACTGAGACACCTTTGCTGGAGAAGAGGAACTGAATAAACAAGGGATACAAGTGACAGAGCAAAATGGGCTGAAAGGAAACGAGAGAGCTGAGGAAACACTGCATTTCAAAGTGTGTCCGTGAAAAGCAGCAGCAGAACTAGCACATGAATTAATAAGGCAACATTTGTACTTTTCTTGGAGAATATAACAATTAGTAGCAAAAATTAGAAGTTGGATATCAGATCATTTATTAGTTTGGATTAGGTTTCTCTACAAATAATAGAGATCCAAAATAACAAAGATTTCCAAATGATGGCTGCTGTGTAGAAGAAGGCAGACCAGGGCTGCTTTGTCAGCTCGGCAGTCATCTGGCATCTCGGCTGCTTCCAGCTTTTGTCTCCATCATCCCCAGGACCCAGATCGGAGCAGCAGTCATTCCTTCTGCATTCCAGGCTGCACGGTGCTAGCGGGATGTGTGTTAAAGTAGTGGCTTAGTGTTTTTTGAGGATATTTCTTAGAATCTTCCAGGTAGTACTTCTTATCTCTCACTGGCAATAACTGGGATTTCTTTTACTAAGAGAAATTGATTGGATGTTAGGTTAGGCGGGTAGTAGTCTCTGCTGTGTTACTGAGCACCTACTATGTGCCAGGCACTGTGTCAGCTCCTGGGGATGAAAGGTCTTTGGCTTAAAGGAACATACGATCTAATAGAAGACGCAGAATCATGTGCAGTGCAGGGGAAGAGCTATGCTCAGTCCTGCTTCTTCATTGGTGAATAATTTAAAAAAGAACATGTCAGGCCGGGCGCGGTGGCTCAAGCCTGTAATCCCAGCACTTTGGGAGGCCGAGGCGGGTGGATCACGAGGTCGAGAGATCGAGACCATCCCGGTCAACATGGTGAAACCCCGTCTCTACTAAAAATACAAA